AAGATGGACATATATTGTGTGCTTGTTGGTGTCAAGGATGGGCTGAAATATATGTTCGTAGACCTACAGGCGATATGTCATGGATTATGAGAATCCAGAATTCAACACAATTTGAAACTCCTATGGATTTTCCTGTACATGACATTATGGCTTTGTATATGCCAAATCAAGATACAGTACAAAATAAACAACAGGAGGCTGCTTCAGAATTCTCAGATGATGAAACAGAGGTATTTCTAAAATTGATAACAAATCGACAATAAATCTTATTTAGGAAAAAAGGACTTATAAATATTTCTTATTACAGGATGTGCCAAACAAAAGTAATAATCAGATACAAAATGAACATGTGAAACCGGTAATTTCGTCTATAATATCAGGTCCAATTGCAATACCTGGTTCGCCAGCTCGACCTAGTCCATCTCGGCAAAGTTCAAGAGATAGTTTAGAAAGTTTAGAAGAAGGTGAAGAAGGTATTTATTATATTATAGTATTTATTATTTGTGATTTTCAAAAAATAAATCTAAAAAAATGGAAATCTTCCATAGATACGCGACGTTCTAGAAATCCAGTACGCCGATCAAATTCAAGTCCAGAAATGAGCGCTAATTGGAAAAATCCATTTTTGAATAAAGAAAAACTAAATGTGCAACAACAACAAATTGATAAAGATTTTACTTGCTCAGAGCTAGAGATTAAATTGGATGCAGAATTGAAGAAGCATTCAAAAAATATTTATACAAAAGACATGAGGTATATATTTTTTTATTAAAAACATGTACATATTCATTATTATTATGTTTATGGTAATTGGTAATAGAGAAAGGATAAAATAAATTCAGAAAGAATTTATGCGCATTCCGAAGAAGTGCTTGTAATCACATAAATTATTAAGTTCAAGCATTATATTCTTTTATTGAATTTTATTATAAAAAAAAATTATTGTTAATAACTATATTTTTAATACTTATTTGCGTAATTTATAGAGTTAGTTGCGAAGCTATACCAGAAGAAATATTTGGCATGGGAACAACTCCACCTTCTTCAGAAAATACTGGAGATCATCCAACTGCATTACGTTCGCAACGTTCTTATCCAGGAGCAACACAAATTATTTCTCAAAGTATTTCAACAACCAGTAATACCGTGCCACCATCTCCTACAACTGTACAGGTTGAAATAATATACTAATGAAGTATTAAGAAAATGACAACATATATATATACTTTTTTATATAATGTAAAAATGATTTTAGGCACCAGGAAATTATTTAGGAATACAAACACGTCCTGCACAGATACAATCGTCTACCACAAAAGCGCCGCAATCACCTACTCAAATTTATTCTCGATTATCTAGTCTTGATTATAATCAGAAGCAAACTCCATTAACTGTTGAAAATAAACCACCTATTGGACGGACTCATATTGTAGATAAGGTATGCCAAGGAACTATTTTTTTTCTCGTATTTTTAGTATATACAAATATTATACTGATTTACAAATTATGACAATTATTACAAATTATGACTGATCATTCATTTTAGCAGAAAGATGAAAGGCCAGATCCATCTACATTGCCTCCTTTACCTATACCTTTTCGCGACAGAGGTCACACAATTTCTGTTATGAGCCCAGCTAAAAAATCACGAGACTGGGATAATATACGACGGGGCAATTCTCCTCGAGTAAAAGAGCCACCACGAACAGGCATTAATCCGAGGTATATTTACCATGTATCTTTTTATGAAATTGTGATATACATATTTTTTCACATTTTAAAATGTTTTATTATACTATGAGAATTATTTCTCTTTTGAGACAAAAAATTAATACGTTATCCTGTTACAGTTTTGTATTCCTTCAACTTTACCATGCAGCGCATTTTGGCACTACCACAGAAAAGCCTTTACTTGTTCCACAGACAACAGCCATACAACGCGCAGTTACAAACCTAGATAGAATACAGCCGTATGAAACTCACAAAATTGGAGTACTTTATGTCGGCCTGGGTCAAGCTTCGAATGAAATTGAAATTTTAGCAAATCAACATGGTTCGCTTCGTTATACTGAATTTTTGAAACGTTTAGGTACATTAGTTCGACTAAAAGATGTCGATGAAAATATATTTTTGGGTGGATTAGATCGTAATGGTGAGAATGGAGAATTTGCTTATATTTGGCAAGATGACGTTACACAGGTTTGTAAATAAAAATTACATATAAAATTAAACTTAATTCGTCATTCTCTCGTGTGTGATTTTTAAAATAATTTTATTTGAAAAAATTGTCTAGGTAGCTTTTCATGTCGCAACATTAATGCCTACAAAAGCAAGTGACCCAAAATGTACATCTAAAAAAACACATATTGGGAATAATTATGTAACACTTGTATACAATGAATCTGATGAACCATATAATATACAAACAGTTAAAGTGCGTATAAAATTAAAACGTCATAATACATGTTTCAAAATTTTGTTTTGTGTGTGTGTGTGTGTGTGTATAATTCTTGTACTCTTAAATATATTTTTAGGGTCAATTTAATTACGCCTGTGTTGTGATACAACCTTTAGATCATGGTACTAATCAAGTTACAGTACAAGCACGAGAAGAATTGGCTGAGCATATTGGTCACAGCGAGCCTAAAATTATTTCTGATCAAAATTTGGCTATTCTTTCGCGGCAACTTGCTTTGCATGCTAATGTAAATATCACGAAAGCTTTTACAGAAGAATTAGCTGTGATGTGACATAATATAATATAATATAATTACAGCTAGCCTCAATGGTTTGTTCGTCTTTGAAGCAGAATAGTCATAATCCATATGCTTCCAATTGGTTGGAGCGCTTACGTCACATCAAGCGCTTAAGAAGCAGAGTATTGCAGGAATACATCAATAATAATCCGGAGACTGCTACGGACGAATTATCACCGAGAACCAACAAACGAGTATATATGGACGACTTCACGGAATATACAACATAGTTACTTGTATCATTTATAGAATACTATAACAAAAATGTTAACGAATGGAAACAATTACATATTAGATAAAATTAATGCATTAAAAAAATTCACGCATTAATTGTTGTCAAAGTATTTTAAAAACTCACAAATTTTTCAAAATTATTGGGTATGGGAATAAGTTTCCACCCTTTTTTAGCCAAAGTTACGATTTATTTAAACAAATAATACATGATATTATGTGAAGTATGTGCCATTGGAAGCTACAACTTTACTCCATTTTTCAGGCAGCATACGGATTCCTCTGACGAAAAATTCGAGTTCTTTTGACTTGATCCATTCATTGAGCCAGTTTGCGATGCTCTCGTAAGAAGTGAACCGCTCTCCAATAAGGGCTGACTGTATTGATCGGAACAGATGGTAATCCGAAGGTGCAATGTCTGGGGAATACGGCGGGTGGGGTAAGATTTCCCAATTCAATCCCTCTAAATATTTCTGGACCGGTTTAGCAACGTGTGGCCTGGCGTTGTCATGCAGCAAAATCACTTTATCATGTCTACCGTCCCATTCCGGCCGCTTTTCTTTGAGAGCTCGATTCAAACGCATTAGCTGCAGTCGGTAACGATCGCCAGTGATGGTTTCAGATGGTTTAAGGAGTTCATAATAGATGACACCCTTCTGATCCCACCAAATGCACAACATAACCTTTGAAGCATGAATATTTTTTTCGCTGTCGATGGACCTGGTTCACCTGGCAGGCCCCAACTTTTTCGACGCTTAGGGTTATCATAATATATCCAGTTTTCATCGCCAGTGACGATGCGATGCAGAAAACCTTTTCTTTTATGCCGTTCAAGAAGCATCTCGCACGTCACCAAACGTCTCTCGATATCCCTCTCCTTCAATTGATAGGGCACCCAGTTACCTGCTTTCTGGACCATTCCCATTGCGTGCAAACGTTTACCGACGGTTGATCTGTCAACATCCAACTCTTTAGACATATCATCAAGGGTTCGACATGCGTCTTCATCCAATAATTGTTGTAGTTGAGTATCTTCGAATTTTTTCGGTGCCCCTTCGCGATCTTTATCACTCACGTCGAAATTGTCACTTTGAAATCGTCGAAACCACTCTTTACAAGTTGTATTTGATGGAGCGTGATTACCGTAAATATTGCTCAATATACGACACGTTTCAGCTGCACTTTTCTTTAAAAGGTAATAATGAAGCATGACTTCCCGCAAATGCTGTTTTTTCGGGACGAACGTAGACATTTTTGACGTCAGATAAAAAAAGATCTTTACGCTTCAAACGAATGTCAACTACTGTGATCGAGACCTCACATATATACCTTCAAATCACCAGTATATAACTAGAGCGAACACAAAAATAGTATCAGCGACACCTCTGTTATGAGGGCGGAAACTTATTCCCATACCCAATATTTTAAAAACTCACAAATTTTTCAAAATTAAATGTATAATATATTAAGAAGAATGATACTTTTCGTTAGAACATATCGCAATCTTATATAATTGATGTTCTTTGCTTGTAACATAAATAAAAAATGGCAGTTACCCTAATTTTCGCATTACATTTTTTTTTAGGATAAGAGATTCAACATAGTCAAATTTAAACAACTTAAAAAAAATTTATATATATAATTTATTCAAAAAGGATGGAAAAATATCGAAGTATGGCTACCAAATAACTTTGTGAAAAGTTGATAATATTGACATGTTTTACACGTTCATATTTAGCTCTTTTAAATACTAATCCCTTTTACACTGAGCATTTGATACGCATATTAACTGTAGTAATTTTCTATTTAAATTGTCTTAATTTCAACAGTGTATTCAAAGAATGATGTACTAAATTGATACAATATGCATCAAAATGATTAATTTTTTATTATTACACATTTTGTATATATGTTTACACGTATCGCCGAAATTAAGAGTATTCAATAGAAAATTAAGTAACTATTCGTATCCCGTATCTCAAGTGCACGATGTAAACTATAGGCTAATGTAAACTAGCCATTCACGCGGCGCGCCACATTTCGCTGATTCAGGTGACAGAATATGTCGAATAAATACTTATTTCTAAAATCAGGATTCCCGCGAGCACCTTTTGGTCTCGGGATCGGACGTTATGTCTGTCAATTACAGAGAATAACTTTAAAGTTTTGCAAAAACCGAGGTTCAAGCAAGGGAATAAGGTGATTCTAACCTATACTCATTTGTAAACGTTTTCTACACGATATTTAAAATTAACATTTTTCTTTTTCTTTTCTTCTTAAATCAATATTAAATTTTTTTTTTATAGAGGCTTCATAGAACATGATCTAGTTAATTATGCAAAAGAAAATCCAGGAGTTGTAGTATATGTTAAACCAAGAAGACACAGGCAACCAGTTATAGTAGCTGAATATTGTACGTTTGTATTCATCCATGGAACATTATCTATATTTAAAATCTTATTAATGTAGTGCTAATATATTTTTCCAGTGAATGGCGATAGACAATGGACGGAGATTGCTAATTATAGCCGGGAAGATGTTATAAAATGGATGGAATTGTTACGAACGCAGTTTCATAATGGTCCTTCGTTGAGATTGCGTAAACTATGGCACACAGAATTCCCATCGATTCAGGGACCATGGACACCATTTACTTTTAGAAATCCTATGTTAAACCTGTCTCAGTTTCCTAATGTAATTATGTTTTTATCCAGAAACAGATTTTTTTTTTCATTTTGTATCAAGATTTTTTATTTTGTAAGGAATTAGTTATAAAAAAATTATATATAACTTTATAAAATATATTGACATATTTCATTTTATTTGTAGAAAGAGCTTGGTACATCTGTTAAACTTGGTCCCACAGCAACGGAACAACTTGTCGAATTATTCAAGGCTCAGCAGTTGGCTGATAATGCAGTTGATTCCTGCCAAAATGTTGAAGAAACTTCTATACATGTTCAAAGAACATAATATTTTAAACAATTTTAATACAGTTCTAATTTTTAATTTATAGTATGTATATAAATATATATAATGTAAAAAATATTTTTGTAGTATTTCATAATGTTCAAAATCGAGACGTAAGAAGTCTTACAAATGGTTTTCTTTAAAATCGAAATATGACATCTTTTCAAAAAATGTCTAAGACGTCTTATGTCTCGTTTTCGATCATATTATTGTCCGAGATGTGTTGTTATAATCAGAATTGCAGCAACTGAGTCCGCATTTGTTGGCAACTTGATGCCTTCACGGTATGACAACTCTGGTAGCAACTTGCGAGCAATTTATCTACAATTTTAAAATCGTCATCGTCAAAATTCGTACTAATACTGTCATATTACAATAATATATAAAATAAGACAATGCTGTTATATTGCGACAATACAAGATAATATTAATGCGATTATCTTGCTATTAAACTATTAGCAATATGTATATGTTATTATGGCTAGCATATTGCTACAATGTCGGTAAATTCAAAATCGTTCAAAACAAATCTATGAAAAGTTGCCGGCATCATAAAAACGGGATTCCACGGCCCATGGCTCAGTATGGCTGATCATGATCGGTCTTGACTCGTCTCGTCACAGAATCAGTCCCGAAATTGATATAAAAAGATTAAAATCATAGTCGCATAGAGGCTTTTTAAGCTATGACGAGCTACACCGAGCTGAGCCGTGTTGTGAGAATTTTAGATTTGTGCGAATGTTTTGAGACACGCTTTACTGTCTCTTTATGTCATTTAGTTTTGCTTGAAAGTGATGGTAAGTAGAAAATTCTTTAGCAGAATAGATTATTTGTCATAAGGATATAAACACTATTAAATGTACACTCATAGAGTAGTTTTAACAAATTTACGACATACGCTGCATTGTATTATATTTTTTGCACATTTTTCACGTGCTAATACATGTCCGCATGGCAAAAATGTTATTTGTAGATTTATATCATAGAAAATTTTACGTAAATTTTTATCATCGTCGCATGGTTTTTTTTTTTTAAACTAGCTGAGCTCTAAGAGCTTTCGTTGACAATATTCTCATTCTCATATATTTGCATTTTCTCAAATTCCTTTTATTGTATATTTCACAAATGCAATTAGTATGAGAAAAAGCTTTATTTTTAGTATTTTTATTATCTTATATTCATAGTGTATATTAAAAACGTTAATTTTTTATATATGTGCATATATGAAAATTTCTTGTTATAAATCTTTTTTAATCTCTCTTAAATCATAAAATAAAACTAATTTAACTTTTAAAAAGATCCTAAAACAAAGACCGAACTTGATCGATGTCAATAAAACCATGGTAGAATAAAATCATGAGTAAAAAACTTTAATGCTAAACTAAAAATATATCAATAAAAAAGCAATAAAGTCAGGAAAGGCCCCTTAACAACTAATTAAGAAAAAGATAAACATGATTTTAATTCACCGTGGATCCAGGTGTTGCAGAAATTCATCCCTAATGAAATTATCTTTACTATATTTTTTGTGTGTATTTTAATTCTAAAAAAAATTGCAATCCGTAAGACCAGAAGATTCAAAGATTTATTGCGGAATAGTGATAAAATAGAACGGCTTCAGGATCCATTTATAACAAATTTTTGCTAACTCTGTAGTTAGATATATATGTAGAAGATATATTCATAAGATATATGAAAGATATATAATATGCAACATATGTATACGTATATATGAAAGATTTAGGATAATACACAAGAATCGTCTGATTTTTTCTGTTGGAACTTTTTCTTTTGAATTTGTGCATTGACCGGTACAAAATAATTGGATCTGTACCTTTCTTGTGAAGTACTTGGTGTTTTCTGCAAAAAGAGAAGTTATAATCGCGTTGTAGATATTGTATTACATTCGCTTTCGCGCGCATTATTAATTATTAATCTGTCTTTAATTATCATTACCGTCTGTTTAGGTTGAACATTTGCACCTCTATTAGGTAAATCGGAATTTGTCCCGCCTGGTTGAATTAAATTCGTATATGAATGACTGTACTCTGTAATAAATAATAACGTTTTTTTTTATTATTTATTACTATTTAGTTCAATTTAGATAAAAAATTATTTTTTACACTTTTGTTATATAACATGAACACAAATAATTACGAAATACGCACGTGTATTTTTGGGCAAATATGTTGGGTAATTCGTTGTATTAATGTAATTTAAATTTGTTGTCGGAACATCAGGAAAAATCTAAAAAAATATTTTGTTTATTTAATCCATTTTAATATGTAGTCAGGAGAGACATGAGGAATAAAATACCGTTTTATTAATTGAATCCTTAGTTATAACTTCGAAATCTGCTTGATTATTCCATTTATCATTATTCTACAACATAAAATGATCTCTATGATACTTAATGTTTTGAAACGATGCCTATACTATTATCCGTAACAGGCACTTTATTTCTTTTTGCCTTAAAATATTGTCAGATTTTAATATCTTTTAATATTGAAAGAAATCATTCTCTCTCAAGTTTTTGTTTCAGTGTATGTATGTACAGTAATACAATGCATAAAAAAATACATATTGTTAAAAATATTTTGTTTTATTAGTCATATATATGTAAATAGAACAAAATCATATCTTATAAATGCAACATTATCTTTACATAATTATACATATATATATATTGTGTTATATATAAATTATTTAGATATTAGTCTTATTAGATTTATCTTGTCTTATTATTTAGATTAGTTAGTTATCAATATCTATACATTATATCTTAAACATGCATGTACGGAACAAATTGTAAATAACAATGCTAATTTTATTTAGTTTTCTTTTGATTATTTACCTTTGAGTTCAATTTTGTTTGTTGCGCTGTTGGATCCAGTAAATTTTTATTCATCTACAATATTAAAGAACACAATATTATAGAATTATAATGCAAATGATCATGACAACACATTTTAATAGTCAAGTTGATAAGTCTTCGATATTTTCAATCAATATATATTTTATTTTGAAATAATTTATTACCTTATTCATCTTAAATTTAAAACCTTTGCAGCATTGGGTAAAGTGATTTATGTCACCACATTTTGTGCACTTCGATCCCCAAGCAGGACACTTCCCATGTGGATGCTGCTCATCACATCTCCAACAGACTCTCTTTACAATATTATCTGATGGTTTTGATATAACACTTGAGTCTGCCCTCGTTTCTTTAGTAACTTGTTTCATTTTTTCCGTATTAATGTTGTAGTCGTGGTAAATTGCCACTAACTTCGACAAATCTAAATTGTCTGCTTCGAAAAATTTTTTACGCAATATTTTATCATGAGTTTCAAGAATGATTTTGTCTCGTATCATGCTATCTAGCATATCGTTAAAATTGCAATTTTTAGCTTTTTCCTGTAAATAACAAAGATTTCAATACACACACACACGCACACACACATTTGTGTACGCGCGTGTGTGTACAATATACAATAAAAATATACATCACAAATACCACGTACTTTTAAAATATTTATATATTGTTCAATAGACTCATTTTGCTTCTTTGCTCTTGTAAAAAAATTGTATCGTTCAACCACCTCTTTTTTTGGTGGATTAAAGTAGTTTTCAAGTTTTTGAATCAATATATCCATATTATCTTTATCTTCCACATTGTCAAAAGAAAAATTTTGTATTGCATCAATACCAACTTTTCCAATCCGATTTTTTAAAAGATTTGCGCGGACTTCATTAGGTTTATCAATATACCCAGTTAAATTCATGAATATAATAAAATCTTCTTTCCAGCTTTGCCAGTTGCTGGCCATATCGCCATCTATTGTTAAAGGATCTGGAGCACGAGCATGTACCTCCATGATAAACGCAAAGCTTACTAGAAAAAAAAAAACAAAAAGAAAAATACAATTAATTAATCTTTTTTCAAATTATAAACTTTGATTTATTCTCTAAATTTGTATCAGATTGTACAGATTAAAAATACAAAATACAAAATAATTTTTACAAGATCTTTTACAAAAAATGTAAATGCTCAAGTAAAAATTATAGAAAAGAACAAAATTCTTACATTGATATAAAGAAGGAAGAAAAAAATTATCAAACATAAAAAAATTAATATTTTTGTAATTATGGAAAAGTAAGTTTATCCATGTATATGCAAAGATTTTTCCATTGTCTAAAAAAATGCTAACAGGTGTAAATAAGGCTTTTCATGTTATCATTTACGAAAACAATATTAAGTGCATCAACGATACAAATTTACTACGCTGTGTTTGTACTTTTTGCATGCACTTACGAGTAAATTTGACACTTATATGGATAATTAATTATGTTTAATTTTACAATTATTTTATATTTATTTTTAATATTTAATTTTACAATTTTATTATTATATATTTAATTATAACATTAATAAAATATGTTAGAAATATCTTAGCATTAAAATGATAAAAGTTATGATAAATGTTCACTTTAGGGGAGGCCTGTCCGACGATCTTGACCTTCACGTATGTTGTCAAGGTCATGACTTTGAGTAATCTCCAACAAGCCATCGCTTGTTATCGATTAAAAAATAAATAACAAAAAAAGTTTGAAAAAATAACGTTTTATTTCGTCTATATATAATATTAAAAACTGTTCTATATATACTTTTCTTTGTTTACGTAATAGTTTTTTTCTACGCGAAGGGAGTTCTATCCTACCTCTCCCCTTGCTCTTACAAGTCGCCTCGCGTGAAAGTCATACGTTCCTGAAGCAGGGGAAAAGGAGATGTGGGATGAAACTCACATCACATGGACAGTCGTAAAATATATTTTAAAGCAAAAAATTTTTATTTTACATAGTAGAAAGAGACATCATTTTTCAAACTCTTTTGTTAATAACTTTTTAATGGTTAATAAGCTAAAACTTGTTGGATTTCTCAGCGTCATGACCTTCACAACTATAATATAGTAAATTTAATTAAGACATTCTTTATTGCTGAAGAACAATAAAAGAACTTGAA